TTCCTAATAGTAAACGCTTCAGCAATTATGGTCTTCCCAACGAACTGATTTTGAAATTTATGGGTAAGAAGCAAAGTACCCTTGTTGTGCATAACAACCAAACCAAAGCTTGCCCATTTCGTTTCAACATGTAGTCCTGCATCAGATTCGGGCACAATAGGTGAAGACTCATAATTATCTTGTAAATTACCATTCAATAAGTTCACAAGCATGCTAGATCCAGTTTTAGTGATACAAATAATATACATGTGCAGGAAATCAATTACAAGAAGTCAAGAAGATACCACAAGAATGCTGGAGTCAATCATGATGAATAAGGGAAGAAATCAATTAGCAAAGATTATCATACAATTAGTAAATCTGGACAACTAAGGAAAGGACTCGCAAATCTGGACGGAATCCAATCAGCAAATCAATCGGCAAAGAGCAACGTTGGAGAGAATCAAGCAAGCCTTAAGTTAAGGCACATTTCAGGGGCAGTATCCCGGAAGATCGAAAGTTATGAGAAGATTGGTACGCGATTAAGTTTGGAAAGACAAACAATCAAGGAGCAAGTCTTCACTCGTATCTCTGCTGAAGGAAGGAAATTAAGGAGAAGCAACGGCTTACTATCTTATTCTTGGAAAGAATCAATTTCTTTCCAAGGATCAAATCTCTTGGGTTGTCAAGCCTCTACCATCCATCAAAGTATTTATATCCCGCCTTAAACCCTAGTCTGACATACTTTGATCGAACCAAAATCACTCTCTTTATTCTACTGCAAACAAACATTGTAGTTCACTAAGATCTGTTGTGTAACAAGTCAGGGAAAGAAAGAGAGCATAACACTGGTGAGGCATTGTATAAAAAACGAGTGCTAGACAAACTGTGTGCAAATTCACTACAACTGTACTCGGAGAAACATATTTACTAAAAGAGAACTCACTTGCAACCCAAGGGGACTGGACTAGGATTCACATTGAATCCGAACCAGTATAAAATCTTGGTGTCTTTAATTCCTGCATTTACTTTCTGCAATTTACTTTCTTTTACTATATCTATTGAATTATCATATCTAGTCGACTACTCAATAAATTAGTCAACTAATAAGTGATTAAGTTTAAATATTTACAATTCACCCCCCCCCTGTACTTTCAATTGGTATCAGAGCTAGTCTCACATTTTACTTTTGCTTAACAGCTTGTGAGAAAAGATCATGGCAAATCAGGTTATCATAGGAGCTCTTTTTCAGGAAGGAACTTCACAAGTTAGACCACCATACTTCAATGGACAACATTTCTCTCACTGAAAAGTAAGAATGAAAATCTTTGTTAAAGCTTACGATGTCAAAGTCTGGAGAGTCATCAAAAAGGGAAATTATCCCCTACTAGCTAGCACTCCACCACTTGCTGACCCTAAAGATATAGATTCATACTCAAAGGAGCAACTGGAAGTAGTACAAGTGAACAACAAGGCGAGATATTTGCTTCATAACGCTATAAGTGGTGAAGAATACGAGAAAATATCAAGTTGTGACACGACCAAAGAGATGTAGGACAAACTTAAGGTCACCTATGAGGGAACCAGCAAAGTAAAGGAAACACATATCAATATGTTGGTTCATGATTACGAACTTTTCTCAATGAAAGAAGGAGAATACATTGAAGAGATGTTTGTCAGGTTTAGCAAAATAATTAGCGATTTAAAGGCGTTTGGCAAGCCCTACACCAGTGGTGATCAAGTCAGAAAAATTCTCAGAAGTCTGCCAACCACTTGGCAGACCAAAGTAGTCACACTGGAATCTCAAGACCTAAACAAATTGTCCTATGATGAACTACGAGGAGAACTAATTGCCTTTGAAAGGACGCATCTCAAAAAGACAAATCAAGAGGAGAAAATGAAAATAGTTGCATTCAAAACCTCTACTGAAATGGTTGAAAATGAAATTGATGATCCTGAAGCTCTGCAAGAAGAGATTGCTATGATGTCTAGAAATATGGATGGGCTAATGAGAAGATACAGGAACACAAAGAAAGAAAGATTTCCACCAAGACGATCCAGGCAATACAACGAACAGGATAAGAATGATGGAAAATGCTACGAATGTGGAAAATTTGGGCATATTCAAGCTGAATGCCTAGAACTAAAGAGGAAGATCTCTAGAGGCTTCAACAAGAACAAAACCTTCGGAAGCTGGAGCGATGAGGATGACTCTGACCATGAAGAAATAACAAATCTCTGCTTCATGACAATTCTAGAAAATGAAATGAAAAAAACTTTAGGATGTTGGACAGATGAAGATGTTTCAGATGACGAGAATGAAAACTGTTTCATGGCACGAGGTGAAACTAGTGAGGTAAGATCTTATGACTGTGAAAAATATAATGAATTGCAAGATATCCTTGATTCAACATTGAAAGAGTCTCAAAAATGATGAATGAACTTAAGAGACTCACTAGGGAGGTTAAAGACTGGAAACTCAAACATGAAGTATGTGAAATCGAAAAGGAAGTACTTTAAGAAGAGTTTGAGGATTTGCAAATGCAGCTCAACAGCATGCGCAAATCTAGCAGTCACAGTTCTGTTAGGTCAAACCAGACGACTTACAAGTCAACTGGAAAAGAACCTGCTAGAACCAGGTCGACTAGTTCCAATACCTATGAAAGACCTATAAGCGGGTCTGATGTTAAGTGTCATTACTGTAATAAAAGTGGGCATAAATATTCCTTTTGTCATTTTCGTAAATCAAATATGTCAGGATAGGTTTGGAAACCAAAAAGTTCTGAACCTAGTAACACTAACCCTCCAGGACCCAAGCAAGCTTGGGTACCTAAAAGAAAGTAATCATCTTGTCTTGCAGGAACACCACAGAGTAAGCCGCAAAGTAAAATGGTATCTAGACAGTGCGTGTTCTAGTCATATGACAGGTGACAAAAACCTGTTCAAAGAAGTTACAAAAATCGATAGAGGAAGTGTTAAATTTGGGGACGATTCAAAGGGCAATATAGTTGGTACTGGAACAATTCCCTTTAATAACAATTGTGACATTACTGAAGAGGAGTTAGAGGAGTTAGATTAGTTCAGCAAGAACTGTATTTGTAGATTGAGAGCTGCCCTGGTTTTCATTCCTTCGTTTCTATGTGGTCGGTTGTATTTGTAGTCGACTTGATTTGTGGATCTGGCATATTACTGCTATTTTCACCAGTTGACTCAGTCGCACCCAGTAATGTCAAGCTGCCCTGATAATGTGCAAGCCATGCAAGAGGAGTTAGATTAGTTCAGCAAGAATCAAATGTGGAAACTAATACCCAAACCTGATAATGTGTCTGTAAACGGAACAAAGTGGGTGTTTAGGAACAAATTGAACGAAGATGGAAAGGTCATAAGAAATAAAGCCGGACTAGTTGCTCAGGCCTACTCACAACAGGAAGGAGTCGACTATGATGAAACTTTCGCCCCAGTAGCTCGTTTGGGATCTATACAAATTCTTCTGGCATACGCATCTTTTAAAGGTTTCAGGTTGTTCCAAATGGATGTTAAAAGCACTTTTTTAAATGGATTCATCGATGAAGAAGTATTTGTGAAACAACCTCTAGGCTTTGAAGATTCAAAATTCCCATAACATGTATACAAGCTCACTAAAGCACTGTATGGATTGAAATAAGCTCCATGTGCCTGGTATGATAGGCTAAGTACCTTTCTTGTTGATCACGGCTTTATAAGAGGTAAAATTGATACTACCCTGTTTATTAAACGATCATCAGAAGGTAACCTCATTATTCAAATTTATGTTGATGACATTATATTTGGTAGTGCTAACCCTTTTATGTACAAGGAATTTTCAAATCTTATGCAAAGCGAATTTGAAATGAGTATGATGGGTGAGCTCACATTCTTCCTTGGGCAACAAATTCAACAATTTGAAGAAGGAACCTTCATATGTCAGACCAAATACACAAAAGAGCTGATTCAAAAACTTGGTATGAGCAATGCAAAATCAATTGGCACTCCAATGAGCCCCTCTACGAATCTAGACAAAGATGAATAGGGCATTCCTGTTGATGAAAACAAATATCTTGGAATTATTGGATCACTACTGTATCTGATAGAAAGTCAACCAGACATCATGTTCAGTGTATGTAAATGTGCCAAGTTTCAGTCAGCTCCCAAGGAGTCACATTTGACTGTTGTAAAGAGAATCATTCGATATCTCATTGGAACTGTATCTCATGGATTATGGTATCCTCGCTCTAACTCTTTTAAATTAGAAGGTTTTTCAGATGCTGACCTTGCAGGTGATAAAGAGGATAGAAAAATCACAAGCAGTACATGTCAATTACTAGGAAAGGCATTAATATCCTGGAATAGTAAAAAGCAAGCATCCGTCGCATTGTCCACTACGAAAGCTGAATACATTGCTATTGAAGAATGTTGCGCACAACTACTATGGATGCCTCATCAATTGGGTGACTATGAACTTTCGTTTAAGCCTATACAAATTTTTTGTGACAATTCTAGTGCTATTTGTCTTTCGAAAAATCATGTGCATCATTCTAGAGCAAAGCATATAGATATTAAGCATCATTTCATTAGAGATCATGTTCTTAAGAGAGACATAGAAATATCTTTTGTTGGAACTTCTGCTCAACTAGCTGATATTTTTACTAAGCCTTTATTAGAAGAGAGATTTTATACTTTAAGAAATTTACTTGGTATTATTTGCACTTCTAATAACTCTTAGGACCTATGTGCTCAATTAATTTTATTTGCTATAGTTGTCCTTTTCCCATGCTTTAATTACGCCTCCGTTTTTTCCCTCTCTTTTCACTTCTTTCACATCAGTTCGCAGTTCGAAGATGGAAAGCCAATCATCCTTTTTCTTTCCTGTACTCAACCGTCAAAACTCTCTTCTTAAGACAGAAAACCCATTCAATCACTCTCATCTCCATCTCTTCTCCAAAAGTTTCAATCAAAGCTTCTTCTCTACAATGGCGAAACACTCCAAAAATCCCTCTGCTTCCACTAGAAAGAGCACCCGTTCCAAAGCAAAAACCCCTTTTGTGCCCCCTGAACAAGTAGACCTAGGGTCTGATCACTCTGAAGGCTTCGCCTCATCTCAAGGAGATTTTTCTGAATACTCACAACTTCTAGGAGAAAAGGCTTTAGGCAAGCGACCCATGGAAGAACCCACTATTTCGTCCACTCCAAAGAAATCAAAGGTTGATTTCTATACCTCTCTTGAATCTAACCTAAATTTCTGGGATTCCCCAAATAGGGTTCTTTTTATTGCTCTAAAAGACAAGTCCATTGCTCATGGACGAGTTGTCGATCTTGATGACATAGAAGCCCTTAACTGTAAGGTCAAAGAACTTTTCTCTTATCAAGGGTGGGAAAAGTTCTTCTCTATTCCTCCGCCTAAGGTATATAAACTCCTGGTCAAAATGTTTTATGCAAATTTTCGTTCTAGTAAACCTGATAGGTTGGAATCTCTAGTGCTAGGTAAGCGCATTATTCTTGATTGTGCCCTGTTTGACTCACTTTTTCAGTGTCGTTGTTCTGGTTTTCCTACTTTGTTTAAAAACATCTGGCCTGATGACTTCGAAATTACTTTTGACCAAGCCAAATAGTGTATTGCTGAGTGTCCCTCTGAATCCCTTCCAAACCAACTAGGTCCCAGTGATGTCAGTTTCAAAACTCGGGTTCTGGCCCACATTGTGGCAACCACTTTGCTTCCCCGTACTGGCTCCTTTTCAACCTTCTCTCAAATAGACACATTCTTTGTCTATTGCCTTGTAACCAAACTCAAAATCAAGTTTTCCTCCTGGGTTATCAATTTCATGATCAAGAGTGATCAAGATCCCACTAGTCTACCCTATGGCATGACAATCACTCATATTCTGGAAGCCCATCAAATTTCCCTGTCCAACTATCCTTTCATCACTGTCTCCAAGTCCTACAATTCTAGAGCGTTTGCTAGTATAGGGTATGTAAATATCTAGGGCTCCTGGGTTAAAAAGAGCGAGAGTGAAGCAAAGCAGGCCCCTGTAGAACCCAAACCTTCACCCTCTGTTCCTCCACTTAATCTTGACAGTTCTGAGCTTAGTGAAAAGCTTCGTGCTATTAACTCTCAACTCTCTAAAATCAAGAACCCTTCTCACAGCTACTCAGTCTACTGTTGGTGTCATTCATGCTATTTCCAAAGAAATAGGGTCTAACGTGTCCAAAATTAGAGTTGTTGTTCTCAGAGTGAGGGAGAATGCTGTCAAAGCTTTCAGGGAGATTCATGACAGGTTGGATGGTGTGAGCGTCTCTGCGAATGCAAGCTTCGAACAGCTAAAGGAGGTCATCTGCAACACCCTTACCTATTTCCTGCGCCGCTAGTGTGGTTGTTTTAAGACAATTTATTTTCTGTTGGTTTTGGGCTGTGTTTTCAGCCTTTGGATGACTTTTATTTTTTTTTGTTGAGCTGCTTTTGTGGGCTGTCTTCCCAGCCATTGGATATTCACTTTCCCTCCTTAGTTTTAATGCTATCTCTTTAGTTCTCGTCTTATTCCCTCTTTGCTGATGACAAAAAAGAGAGAAAATCTATATTGTCCCGGTAGCATATGTATTTTTACAGGCACAGCGGAAAAGTCGACTTGGTCACAGTCTAGTCGACTGCATCTATTGAGGGGGAGTATCATGGACCAGTCAAGTCAACTGCATACATTGAGGGGGAGTAAAACACAGGGAAGTTGACCGGTGTTTACTTCTTTTTATTACTATATTATTTTGTCATCATCAAAAAGGAGGAGATTGCTAGATCCAGTTTTAATGATGCAAATAATATACATGTGCAGAAAATCAATTACAAGAAGTCAAGAAGATACCACAAGAATGCTGGAGTCAATTATGATGAATAAGGGAAGAAATCAATTAGCAAAGATTACCATACAATCAGCAAATCTAGACAACTAAGGAAAGGACTTGCAAATCTGGATGGAACCAATCAGCAAATCAATCAGCAAAGAGCAACGTTGGAGAGAATCAAGCAAGCCTTAAGTAAGGCACAAATCAGGGACAACATCCCGGAAGATCGAAAGTTATGAGAAGATTGGTACGCGACTAAGTTTGGAAAGACAAACAATCAAGGAGCAAGTCTTCACTCGTATCTCTGCTGAAGGAAGGAAATTAAGGAGAAACAACGGCTTACTATCTTATTCTTGGAAAGAATCAATTTCTTTCCAAGGATCAAATCTCTTGGGTTGTTAAGCCTCTACCATCCATCAAAGTATTTATATTCCACCTTAAACCCTAGTCTGACATACTTTGATCGAACTAAAATCACTCTCTTTATTCTACTGCAAACAAACATTGTAGTTCACTAAGATTGTTGTGTAACAAGTGAGGGAAAGAAAGAGAGCATAACACTGGTGAGGCATTGTATCAAAAACAAGTGCTAGAGAAACTGTGTAAATTCACTACAACTGTACTCGGAGAAACACATTTACTAAAATAGAACTCCCTTGCAACCCAAGGGGACTGGACTAGGATTCACATTGAATCCGAACTAGTATAAAATTCTGGTGTCTTTAATTCTTGCGTTTACTTTCTGTAATTTACTTTCTTTTACTATAATTGTTGAATTATCATATCTAGTCGACTACTCAATAAATTAGTCAACTAATCATACTTAACCAATGCTTTTGCCATAATTTCTAGAGGTTCAGTTACTTCATTATTAAAACACTAAAATGTTCCTAAACTTCCAAATATGTTTACATTATAGTTACAGTCACATTCAGTACCTTAGACGAATCAACATAAATTTTGGCCATATTAATCTTATCACCATCATAGAAAAAAATCAGTAATTGTATCAATATCACTCTAATTAATGGTGCTATTTATTCGGTTAGAATTAAAGTTATTTAGCATGAATTCGTCTCATATTTTGTATTTAGGTGATGTAGTTTGCATGGTTAACTGTCTATTATAGGCTTTTATGTGTTTTACATGTGTATGATGTAAAACACATAATTTCCTTTTTCTTATATTCTTTTCTTGTTGGTTTATGAATTGTAGTATTGTATTTTGGCG